AGGCAGAGACAGGTAGGAGATTTAGTTCTTCAAAGAAGGTATCCAAGTTCACATGGCTTTTACTTTGAGGGAACTCCTCACTTCTTTTGGTGCCAGGAGGCTAGAATTCAGGGAGAAAGTGCAATCTTACTCTCCTGATGAGTCAAGGGATGGATTTTGGTATTGATAGGGCAGTGGAAATTGAGTTAAAACCCAGAAAGGAGAGAGCTAGAAGGAGGACAAATAAACACCTTTCAAACATTTGGCTGACCTTAAATGAACGGTACAAATTTGAACAAGGCTCTACGGAAAGGTGCTAGGAAGTCCAGGAGAAAGAGACAGCTGGAGGCTGAATGAGCTAAAAAGATATTTAGCTGCTGCCCATTGCAGGGGAGTCAATTTGGTATTGAGTATTACCAAGTTACAGATCTTGGTAAATATTTTAGTCTTTGTATTGAAACACCAAAAGGGTCATGACCAAAAGGGTAAGGCCCATGACCTTAGGCCAAGGGCAAAGCAGAGACTACCCATTATAAAAATGAGTAATTATGTCATTACAAATTCAAATTGAACCAATTACTAGAACAAAACTCAACAATATTCAAAGATAAGCTATTCCAGAGTCTCCATCATGTAACATAATGATATCTAGTATATAAAACTAGACATGCAAAGGTGTGCAAAGTAACAGTACTATGTGACCCACAGTACTATGTAAAAAAAAATTAGAAACATAACCACAAGTGGTAGAATTAGTACTAAAGAGTTGAAAGTAACTCTTACAATTAGGCTAAAGATAAAAGATAGATATAATGGCTGAAGAGATGAGGAATCTCAGACTTTTGTAAACAGTAAAAAAGAACCAAGTAGAAATCATAGGACAGAAAAATACAGTATCAAAATTTTTTTAAAAAATCATTGGCTGAGATTAACAGTAGATTGGACAGAACAAAAGAAAGGATTAGTGAATCTGAAGACCATGTAATAGAAATCAATGAAGCAAATGGAGAAAAAAGGATTAAAAAAATTAACACAGCCTAATGATCTATGAGGTATATTAAGCAATCTAACAACTATACACTGTACCCAAAAAGAGTAAAGAGAAAACAGGGTTGAAAAAAAAATCTGAAGAAGTACTGAAAGAAATTTTACCAAAGTTGATTTAGAAAAAAATGAACAAGCCACTAGGAAGTACAGCAAGCCCCAAGCTGATAAACATGGAGAAAATTACCAAGTGACATTGTACTCACATCAAAATACAGATAAGAAAAAAATGTTATAAAATTAGTTAGGGAAACAGATTATATTACATAAAGGGGAACAACAATACAGGTGACAACCAACACATCATCAAAAATAATAGATGCCGGGCCTCCCCGGTGGCGCAGCGGTAGAGCGCTGGGTTGCGAAGCTGCCCGCGGCCTCTGCGGCGCCGGTTCAATCCCCGGCTGCTCCCCGGCCACCGGAGGAGGGTCCCACATGGCGCGCAGACCTCTCCTGCCGCCCACTGCTCCCCTCAGCAGTGTACTTCAGTCCTTCTGCCTGTTCTGCTCCCTGCTCTGGCTCTGGTGAATTCTCTCACCCTCCCGCGCTTCTGACTGTACCCAGTGCATGTATAAACAAAACAAACAAACAAACAAATAAATAAATAAAAACATGCCTCTATTAAAAAAAAATAATAATAATAGATGCCAGAAGACAAAGGAAATAACACCGTCCACATCCTGAAAGAAAAATATTTCAAGCTCCTTTCAGCAAAATTTCTTTTAAAAATGAAGATGAAATAAATACACCTTCAGATAAAAACAGGTAATTTCTCACCTGCATATTTGCACTTTAAGAAATACTAAAAGAAAATCTCAAGCTAAAGCAAAATGGAAACCAGATGGAAATCTGAAGCTGGAAAGTAAGGAAGAGCACTAGAAATAGTAAATATGTAGGTAAGTATATTTCTTTTCATAAGTATTTTAAAGTCAACTGACTTTTTAAAGCACGAATAAAAATACATTTTGGGTTTTTAACACATAAACTCAAACACATAAAAACAATAGCACAAAGGATAAGAGTGAGTGTGAATCTGATCTATTTTAGGTTCATGTATTATACATGAAGTTGTGTAATAGTAATTCCAGATAGTCTGGGTAACTTAGGATATATATTGTAATCCCTTGAGGAGCAACTTAAAAAGAAGATATAAAGAGATATAGCTCACGGTCAGTTTCAGAGTTATCAGAGAAACGCTGTATTGTGCACCGTGTGCGTGGTAGGGAGCTTTATGTAAGAGGTGCCTGCAGCTGCCCTGCCTGGGGTGGGCTTGGAGGCAGGGGCAGGAACAAGGGGCGGCTGCCTGTATATAGGGGTGGCTGAAGATGCACAAAGCAGCTATAAGAATGACTGTCACAGGTTCCCTGGGTCAACCCCACAATTTGTCTTTCCATGACCAGGCCCGGCTCAGTCCCCAGTCCCTATGTGGCATGCCCCATGCTGCAGATCCTAGTGTTGCCTCCACACTTCCTCCACTCCCAGCCAAGTTCTACTGGGGGAGCTCATACTGCGCCCTCATGCTTTTGTCCTCATAGGGTAGTTGCCCTGGCTACTCCTGGGGTCCTTACCTGCCTGTCATCTCAGTATCTGGTCATATGCTATCTTCCATGTTGGCCCTATTCACCCCCAAAACATGCTGAGGTCCTGGGACTCCCAAGCTGTTTCTATTACCTCCTCGTTCCCCGCTCAGTGGCTAGCTGGCATTATACGTGCAGCACACGCTCAAAGGTACTAGCTGCATAGATTAAAAATTATTCCTGTACCCATGCCCTGGAAGCAGGGTGCACTTTCTAGAACTTGGGAAACTTGGGTATGCAAGTTTGCCTTGAGTGTAGAGCTTCCCAGAGAGAATTGCCTGTATCCACTGTGCATGTTCCCTGGAGATGCTTTGTGTCTGTCACTGCACAGCTCCTCATCACAGTCCACAGCACAGGTGTCAAGCATGTGTCAAAGCAACACATGTGGCTCTATCTGCCACTGAGCGTCTCAGCAGGAGGGATGGAGGTGCTCAGGAGCTTCCTGCAGACTCTGCCCTCAGCCAGCGCTTTCACGTCTGACTTCATCATCATGACAGACCTGGGGAAGCATCTGCATCATTGAGCTTCTTCCCCCACAGGTGAAGAAACCTAGGCTCAGAGAGGTTACAGCAGTTGTCTGAGGACACACAGCCAGGGAGTGGTGTGAATGGGACTAACTCCCAGGTCAGCCTGGCCCTACAGCTTGTAAGGAGACTTCTCAAGGGTCGTCACTCATCATTGAAAGCTCCAGAGAGAACTCGCACCTTTCAACATACAAGAGCAATGGGACATGACAAACCCGAGCCACTTCAAAGATCTCCAAGGGAAAGGGTGGCAGAGAATCCTAATTCAAGTAAAAGTTGGAAAAAGACTAATTATAATAAAGTAAAAATCAAAATCAACGAGCAACTATAAGCCAGAGACACACGGCGGGGGCGGGGGGGCCGGAGTAGGAGGTATTACGGTCAAAATAAGGGGGGTGGGGATTGTATGGGGACTATAACCAAGATGAAAATGCGTACATTGTGCAAAAATGAAAAATGATGTAAAAATATATAAAATAAAAAAATAAAAGTTTTTTTTAAAGTGGAGGATCTTGGGGCCTCCCTGGTGGCACAGGCGGTTGAGCACAGCACTGTGACGCTGTCCGCAACCTCTGCAGTGCCAGTTCGATTCCCACCAGCCTCGGAGCTACCCACATGGCGAGCAGACCTCTCCTGTCTCTCCCGCTGCTCCCCTCAGCTGTGTATTTCGTCGTCTGCCTGTTCTGTTCCCCACTCTGTCTCTGGTGAATCCTCTCACCCTCCTGCACCTCTGGCCTGTACCCCAGCTCTTGTATAAATAAAATAAATCTTTAAAAAAAAATGTTGAGGATCTTCTTTTCAAAACTCAAGTAACTCCCCATGGATTGGGTGATCCTGGGAATACCTGGCCCCAACTCCTCACCTTGTGCTGCTGGTAGCAGAGTTGAGGGGACTGCAACAAGCCCCCAAGACAAAACAGCAAATTTGGAGGTGGCCAGCAAGTGAGCACGGGCACCTCCAAACCTAAGAGACAGGGTCCCAGTTGAGCTGGTGAGCTGGCAGTGCCCCATGGCTCTCTGGAGGGTCAAGGTCAATGCTAGCTTGGCGGTGAGCACCTGACTGCCACACCACACACTCACTGGGCGGAAATGTTTGATTCTCACCTCCAAAGCCCCGTCCTGGCAAGGGAAGCTTGATCCATGATGAAGAAACCAGACAACAAAGCCAGAGCCACCCAGGATGGGGCCTTGCTCCCTACAGGGGCAAGGAAGAGCCTTTGTTCTCCAGGATGGTGAATAAGTCAGGGGCAACTAGGGGCTGCTAGATTCCGGGAGCACCCAAGGGAGCAGAGCGAGCAGGAGCTGACCACAGTCATGGGTAGACAGAGCTCATGCAGAGCCACGGGGACGACAGGAATGTTACAAGTCCGTGCAATGCTAGGGAAGACTAATCGTGTCCAGGGGACTCTGTGAAATGTCTTCTGCCTGAGGATGAAGAGCAGGGGTGGGGGAGGTGGCCTGCCAGGCTGGGGTGTGAATCGGAGCTAAGGAAAGTCTGTGGCTCCAGGTGGAGGCTGTAAACTCTGTCTTGGAAATGACAGAGAGCCACAGAAATTGTGCACAGAGAGAACCAACGTGGTTCCTTCAGGAGGAACTTTCTGTTGACAGAGGTTAAGTCAGGGGCCAGACTAGCAAGACCAGGAGAAAGAAGGAGGGGTCTTTCCTGACGGAACCACGATGGCTTTTCAGACAAAAGAATGAACAACTCTTCTGCCTCGAGTCCCAGCGGCTGTGTGCCGGCTGCCTGCTCACGGCACAGGCGACACTGAGGCCTTAGGCAGCTGAGGCCAACAGGGGTGAAGCCGCTGAGACTCAGCAGGAGGAACCCTGTCCAGCACCCCGCCCCAGGCCCCTGGCTGCATGCTCCCTGGCCTCACCTCCGATTTTGGCGTTGTATGCAATGCCCACGATGCAGTAGGAGTTGTTGGCCGAGGCAGCCACTTCTCCTGCACAACGAGTCCCGTGCCTGCAGCAGAGGGAAAAACAAAGTTAGGGCTTAGCCGGGCAATGAGTGAACTCGGGGCACTGCCTACTTTTTCTTAAGCCCAGGAATGACACTAAACCCCACTGCAGGGAGCCAGGACACACACAGGCGGCCTGCAGCTGACAGAGCCTTCCAGGTGTCCTGCTCACGACCAGCAGGGGCTTCCCTTCCTGGAGAGCGCCTCCTCCCGCTCTACATTTCTGCTGGACAACACGATGCCGGCACACACAGGTGCAGTGTGAACGGCTGTGTGGCTGGCAGGACATGTATGTCTTGTCCCTTGTGGCACTTCCCCTCCTGCCACCCTGCCCACAACGCTCACCTGGCGCAGTCCTGAGGCAGAGCTGAGGAAGAGCACTCGAAATTGAATGCTCAGCAGCAGCTGGGGGGCTCTGAGAAATTACCAGAAAACAAATTGCTTTCCTCGGTAATGACCCTATTTTCCAATGTGCTGCCTCGGGTCAGTTCCTCCAGCACAGGCCAAAAGAAGGGCAAATGGAAACAGCACGTTTTTGAGAAGCATCCACAGGGGATTCAAATTATTGGTTCAAATCTGAAAATGATCTGGGGTCTGGAAGGGAGTCGGCTCTCCTGCTCTGGAACAACAGCTGCCCCCCTGCCAGGGCTGTTCACAGGCACCCAGATCCTGGTCTCTCCTTGGGATCCAGGTCTGCCCTTCAAGGGTCACTGCCGGCGTCTGGATCATTCCTCTGTGCCCCCAGGACACAGGTCGGAAATGCGGAGCCCATCCCCCAGGAGTGCGCGCTGCCCAGCAGGAAGGGCACCTTGGGACATGAGGCAGGGACAGCAGCCACCTGCTTGGGGGTGCCTCTGGGGCTCCAGGAGCAACAACCACACCAGGCGGCCAAGCCTCCCGGCCCAGCACCAGGATTTGCGCGCCCCTGCCCCAACCCCGCCAGCTGGAATCTGCCAAGAAGTAAAATCCCATGGAGGAAGGAGCCTTGGCCAGGGCATGTCAACCTTGGGGAGACAGAAAGGCCCCTTGTTGTTCTCCTTGAGAGACGCTGGGAAGAGTGGGCAGGGCAGGGCAGGGCAGGGCAGGGCATGCTAGCAGAGGAAGGGCGTGCGGGGAGAGTGAAGGTGAACTCCCAGCATCAGGTTTGGGGAATGACTCCAGCCCCGGGGATGCCATTTACAGAGCAGAAGCCACCTCATCTCTCTGCACTCCATGGTTGGCTGGGTGGGTGTCCTTCACCCCCACACCCCCGGCCCTGGGAGGTGGGTGCATCATCACGACTGAAAGTCTCTGCGAGGCTCACAGACACTCAGGGAGGTCACACACCTGCGTAGAGCAGCAACTCAGGAACAGCAGGGCTGGGATGCGAACCCAATGTCACCCATGCCCCTTCCAACTCCCTCATAAAGCAAAGGGGGGAGTCAAGAAAAGCTCAGGCCTGTGACCACGTGCTCCAATGACCAAACTGCTGTCTTAACACAGCTGGTCACAGAGACCGTAAGTTAAGGATGATTCTTTCGAAATACTCTGACAAGGCTGGAAGCAGGAACATCCATCAATAGCAGAGGCTAACCCCCAGGGGCCGCCCTCTGCCTGAAGAGCCCTGCCAGGGGCACCTCTGGCTCGGGGAAGCCCTCACACAGGAAGGGTGACTGCTTGCAGCTGCTCCCCTTTTGAGGATCCCTCCTGTGGGCCCATGTACCCCTCAGAAGGGGGCGGGAAGGGAAGCAAGGAAAGCCAGGACTAAGGGGCGTACTTATTTTCATTGCTGGCATCGTATCGTGGCGAGGGATCGTAATCATTTCCGTTGACATCGTAGCTTGCGTAAGAATCCTAAGAAGTGAAATCTTAATGAGTGATGAGAAATGGCACAGCATCTGACATCAAAATGAATTCCATTTAAATTATTTTATGCCTCTGTTGGAAAACAGAAAAACACACTTGGTACTACTCTCTCACTGTAACTATCGGCTTAGATATATTTTTATTGTGGCTAAATACACAGAACATAATTTACATCCTGTCCATTTCTTTTTTTTTATGATTTATTTATTTATGCATACAAGAACTGGGGTGTAGGCCAGAGGTGTGGGAGGTGAGAGGATTCACCAGAAAGAGTGGGGAACAGAACAGGCAGACTGACTGAAATACACTGCTGAGGGGAGCAGCAGGCGAGGCAAGAGAGGTCTGCTGCACCATGTGGGTAGCTCCCTGGCCAGTGATCGAACTCCTGCTGCAGTGGCTGGTGAAAGCTTGATAGTGCTGTCTTTAACCCCTGCGCCATCGGGGAGGCCCATCCATCCTGACCATTTCTGAGTATACATTTCAGAAGCACTGAACACCCACCTTTGCAACCATCACCACTGTCCACCCTCAGAACTCTTCCCATCCTGTAAAACGGAATCTCTAGACCCACCAAATGCGAGCTCCCCATTCTGCTCTCTACTAGAAAACTACCTGCCTGCTGTTTGTGTCTGAGGATGAGGAGCCCGGGGAAGTGGAGTTGTACATGTTTATCCTTTGGGGACTGACTTCACTTAGTATCATGTCTTCAGGATTTATAAATGTGGCAGCCAGTGTGACAACTTGTTCTTGCTTATTTACTTAGAGTCACATATGTTCTTGCTCACAGACTTATCAGGGGAGTATCCCTATAACTTCATGTCCTCCTTTTTTAAAAATATCATAAAAACCCTCTGGTTTTCTTATATAAACTTCAAAACTTATCTTTAAGACCAACCTAATTGTCTATTACACGCTAGGGTGTGACTGTCTGACCCATTGCGAGGCCCCGGGTTCCTTTAGGAGACTGAATGCATTTATCTGTTTTGTTTTGTTTGTTAAAGATTTATTTATTTATGCATTCAAGAACTGGGGTACAGACCAGAAGTGTGGGGGTGAGAGGATTCATCAGAGACAGAGTGGGGAACAGAACAGACAGATCTACTGAAATACACTGTTGAGGGGAGCAGCAGGCAAGACAAGAGAGGTCTGCTGCGCCATGTGGGTAGCTCCCCGGTTGGGGATCAAACTCATGCTGCAGAGGCTGTGAATTGCTTCAAAGTGCTGTGCTTAACCCTTTGTGCTATCAAGGAAGCCCTGAATGCATTTATCTGTTTACTGGAGACCAGAGTCTCTTCCTTATGTTACGAACTCATGCCATGCTCATAAGAACCATGGGAGACAGTCGTCCTATTGGGAACCCCACTGTGCAGATGGGGACACCGCACAACTTAAGTAACTTGCCCACGACCTCAAGCTAGGAAGTTGCAGGGCCAGGGTTGAAACCCAGGGAGTCTGCGTTCAGAGCCTGTCATTCTGAGGCTGCTAACACCTGCCTGAGATGAGTCTCATGGGTGTGTATCTGAGTTCTTTTGCATCCTCTCCTAGAATGTGTGACTCCTTGAACATGCAAAACCCTTTTCCCTGGCTCCAGGATGGGGACAAACATTGTTTCACCAACCCTCCTCAACACTTTCCACATTGCCTACCATCATGGCGGGGAAAGGCCCTTTATTGTTAGTCACTGTGTCTTCAGCTAAGTAAGGATCGGCACAGCTGAAAACCCGGCACGCCCCGGGCTGGACTTACGTAATTCGGGGCCAGGTCGGGGTGATTTCTCTCAATGCCGTCGTCAAGGATGGTGACCACCACATTTTTCCCCGTGTACCCCCTCTTCCAAGCCGCCTGGACGTTCATTTCTGATCGGCAGCGACTGTTCTTGTCACCACAGTGCTGTGTGAACAGAAGACACGCCCCCCACCCCCCCAAACATGGATGCTGCTGATTGGATCTCCCAGCAATGTCCCCAAGGTTGCTGGAGGCAGAGCTTTCCCTGCCTCTTGAGGAGATGCTCAGCCTCCCGCCATTTCCAGGAAGAGCAGGTGCAGAGGGCTCAGCGTGCTACTTCTGCACCTGGCCAGCTGTCTACCATGTTCCCTGGGCACCACCGCCCCTCAGTGTAGTCCCACAGCTTGCACCAAACTATTCCCCTCCTCAAAGAGCCCCCCAGAGACTGTCATATAACTTCAGAGAAAAACCCTCAAGAAACCTTGTGTTGCAGAGTGAAGCCGGGCCTTACATGCCATGTGACTGGACTGTTTCCAATTATGAGAATTTCGCTAACCCCACCCCACTTACCATGTACCACATGTTGGACCAAATGGGGTCATTGAAATAAAGGGACTGTGGGTCGTTTCGTGCCTGTCTCTTCACCCTGCGTTTCACTTCTTGCTGCTGGAGCCATGTCACCTGCCAGGGAGAGACACGGTGACTGCTTGGGTTCTAGACCCTTCCCTGAGTCAGGGTCATCTTCCCAGGGTACTAAGCCACACCATTAACTTAATCCTGACAAAATCCATGTTTGAATGACAAGTTCCAAGGAGACATTTTCCCTTCAAAGTGACCACATTTGAAAAATGTTTATGTGGGAGGAGAAATGGCAGCAAACTGGTAGATTCTGAAATCAAAGATTTTGTAATGTCGCCAATGAATTATCGGGTGATCGTCATCCTGAAGAAAAGGGAACCACGCTTACGGAAAGAGTGAAGAGGAGAAATTGCTTGATCAAATGGCTATTGCAAGTTGGAGGTAAAGATGTTTTTCAGTGAAGATATGAATAAAATTATGAGAATTTGTGTAGTGGAATTTTCAGCAGCCACTAGCAACACTGTAGCAAAATTTGCACAGAGAAAACTCTAGAGAAGGACACAACACAGCAAAATATTAACAGCAGCAATTCCTGTGGGTGACATTATTGTTAATTAAATTTTTTAAAATGATTTTCAAGGTTTTCTGAATGTCTTTCAAATAGATCTACCTTCATAGCCAAGAAATAAAGGTGGAGAGGCAGCATATATAATATTTCAGAGCAGGAATCCAGGTCCAGGCTGCCTGAATTCAAACTCCAGCCCCACACTCACCAGCTGTGTGATGTAGTTAAGTTCCCTGGTCTCAATTGTTCATCTGTGCAATTGACAAGGGTGGGCGGACATGAGGTTTATATGCAGCACTGGTTTATATGAAGCACTCAGACCCTGGCACACAGCCATCGTCATCATTGTCACCATCGTGTGTCTATGTGTGTGACCCATCGTGTGTCTGTGTGCATGACCCACACATTCTATTCAAGCTGGAAGAGTTGTTCTCTGGGAGAGAACAGCCCCAGCAGGTTCTGTAGAGGATGAGCCTCTGGCTCACGGTCTCTGTAGGAGGCTGGGCTGCCTGCCTGGGCCTCAACCTCCAGCCTGTGAAGTGGAGGTCAGATCAGCCCATGTCACAGACCACTGGCACTCAACAGTTTGTGATGCTGAGATCTCAGTTCCAGATAATGCAGACTGCTCTCAACACGTCATCGGGTCAACTTTCAATAGTAGAAGAGCTAAGAGACACACAAATTGCCCAAGTGGTGAATTTAAAGAAAGAAACATTTGATCCCTGAGAAGGGTGTGCCACTTTACAGTTACAGGGGTCCTTTCTCATGAAGGAGAATGGTTAATGCACATTTGAAGCAAGCAGGGAGCTAAGCTTGGCACCTCCTGCTGCAGAATCCAGGGGCCCTTGAGGTACCTCAAAGACCAGAGTTAAGTCCAGGAAACCGCAGAGGATTTATGGAAAGGCCGTACACATGAGCGTGTGAGGTCTCCGCTAGAGAGAACGTGTCTACAACTTTCACTGTCTTTTCAAAGATGCCTGTGAATCCAAAATGGTTAAAAAGCACTGAACTAGAGGTAGAACAGGAGGCAGGAAGTGGTTCAGAACTTTCAGGTGAGGAATTACTGCCACTGCATCATCTTCCTGGAGGGCACAGGGGACAAGCCTCTCAAGTGCGTGATGTCAAATGACATTATGAGAACCTGTCCCAGTGAGACCCTCAGCCCCTCTAGTATCACCTTAGGGTGGTGAGGTGGGGATGGGAGGGGTACAGATTGCTGCAGCAACCACACAGCTGGAAACCCATGAGCCAGGGCCACAGAAGAGGAGAGGGGAAAAAATTAAATATAAATGATAAATTTTAAAAAAGGTCACACCTACCACCCTCCCCATGTCATAGAGGAACTGGAACCCAGTCCCCCCACCCCCTCTCACCCCTCGGTCAAACCTGGAACAAGGTACAAGCCATTTCTCCAGTTCTTCCCCTGGGGTGGAGCTACATGGGTCAAAGGGCCGTGGCTTAGTGCCGGTGAGATATGACGGCACTTGTTCTGTCAATTTTGGAAATTTGTCAGTGGGTGTGTAAGGACTTTGGGAAATTAGACCAAGTCATGAATTTGCAAGTTAGTTCTTACCCCCCTAAAGGAAATGCATGCCATCTGCCTCCATGGACCCAGGGCAGGCAGCTAGAGCCCAGTGCCCAATCTTGCCACACAGACACCAGTCAGCATGTCCACGTGCAGTCACTGTCACTCTGTCATACTAGGCGTCAGCAATGTGGGATATGGCTTGATTAACCCTGGCCCTCCTTAGGACTTCGGGCATCATTTAACCCAGGCAGGCCACAACTAACTTCTAAAGTAGTTACCTAGCTCGAAAGTGGCACGCACATGCTAACAGATAACTGATGTGATTCTGACCTGTGAAAATTGAGACAGGTTCCCGTAAACAGTCCTGTCTACTGCGTCCTGGGTGGTCTGCAGGGCTTGTCAGGGAGTAAACACAGCAGAGATGTGGCTTTGGCCCTCAAGAACGTTATAATCCACTGACCCTCGACAGGCTGGTGTGCTGCTAGCTATAAGCATGTCTCTCATGGGTTCTAGAATACTGCAGGCCCTCTCCCCACAAACCATCTGCAGCTCCTATGAGCCTTGGGAGAGTCACTATTCAGATCCCAAGCAAACTATCCACTCATCCTTCCTGCCAAATCGGCCATGGGCCTCCCTCTTGGCAGTATCTCCAAAATGACCAGGGAATACTTGTCACAAGAACAAAGGTGGGGGTTGAGTCAAACAAGTGTAAGAGCCTCTGGATTGACAAGCTTCGCTACCGCTTCTGTGCACCGGGAGCCTCAAAAAGAAAGAATGGTTCCCCCAGTCTACGGGACCACTCCACCCTTACAGAAGGCACATCTCCTGAGGAAGTGGTCAGCCTGGGATGAGTGCTGTGCATGGACCCCACAGGACACACTCCAGCCCCCCATGCTCCCACGTTGTGCTGGGACAGAAGCCAGCAGCTCAACAGCCTGACCCGCCTCTCGCGGGGTCCAGTGGGGAAACAGATGCTGATGGAAGAATGTCACCAGTCTAGAACATACACTGCTAGGAAGAGCCAGGTGCCCGGTGGTAGGGGCATATGAGGAGACAGTGGGAGAGCAGGCTGGTGTAGACATTGTGCAGGGGGACAAGCCAAAGTCATCTGAGGAGGACTTTAAAGGCAGTGAGGCTGGGGCCATGGAGAAGCCAGACCAAGAGGGGCCCGGGAGGTGGGCATCCCTAGGCATGATGGCACCACTGCACACATATTTCATAGGAACCCTCAGGGGTGGCCGGGGGCTCCTCTGAGATGCCACCAGCAGGCCAGTGAGGAGGGCAGCACAGTGGTCCAGGAGAGGGGGCCAGGAGCTTGGCCTAGGGGACATGGGAAATGGGCTGGCTGGTAGAAGAAATAAGGAGACTGCCCTCGGGCCACTGGGTGCAGAAGGCACTTGTGCCTGAGACAGAGGTGGGGTCAGAGGTGGTCAGCTGGGTTTGGGACACACCCAATGACCTCGATGTCTTTGAGGCCCCTCAGCAGAAGCATCCAGCACATGGGTAAAATAACGCAGCACCATCTTTTAAGGTAATCAAAAGTCTAACTTTTTATCAATCCCCAGGGGCCGTTCTGCTAGAAACAGTTGGGTTGGGCCAAAGTAGCGGAGACAGCTGGAGATTTCTGTGTGGGCAAACCCATTGGGCTCTGGACACCAGTCCTCCCCTGTCCCCAGCTGTGACCCAGTTCATCAACCCTGGGACGAATCTGGTCAGTTACTGTCTATGCAACGGTATTTGCCAGGAACTTTTTGTTTGTTTGCACTCTGTGCGGCGCTAGCACACAGAGCTGTCAGATAAAATCCCATCTGTGGTTAATGGAAAGATCTACTTCAACATTGCATCACTACTGAAAAGAAACCTGAGCTTTGATTAAACTGGGGGTGGGGGGAGTCAAAGTCCCATCCTGCACAACAGAACGCCGACTTTGGGCCTTGGTCAGCTTCCAACCTCTGAACTCGTAAGCGCTGAAATGAGGCCTCGCCCTGAGGTTTCCTCATACCCACCCCCTATCCCGGAAGGAGCCACTGAGGGCCTCCCTCAGAACATCTTTTACCCTTCCACATCCTTCATCGATCTGGCTGAGAAAGGAAGGAAGGAAAAGGCTAAACCAGTCATCACAGTAAAATGTAAGGGCTGGGAGACGCAGGCAGCAACGTCCAGCTATTAACCAGCTTGGAACCTAATCAGAAAGAGTAATTTAAAAAAAATTTGTGAGCCCTTTCAGCTATTGGCTGATGCTTCTGTAATATCTACCCTTCTCCAGACTTTTGGCAAAAGAACAATTTCAAAACAAATGCTTTCAGTTTGGTTAAATGACAGCCCTTGCAAAGAGCCAGCCACTGATACTGCAGGCTGAGAACAGGGGCTGCTCTCCCCAGGAGAGGGCTGGGCTACAAAGCGCTCGAAGCAAAATGGCCCTTTTCAAAGATGGTCAAAACCATCAAGCAAAGGTAATTAAGAAAGGAAGGAGACAACTGCAAAATTCCAGGAGAGGCTCAGCCTAAAAGGACGCTTAATACAAGAGAGCTGGAGGGAGGGCAGGCTGAGAGACGACCAAGAAGTCTTATATCTTCCTCTCTGCTTGTGGTTCTTTTTTTCATTTGGTGTGAACAAATGTATACTCGATCAGCTTTTATGTGACGTAGGGGCAGTTTGTAAATTCCATCACTTATCAAAGCACTTTTATACAACGGGGACTGGAGCTAATTAAAATAAATACCATCTGCATTCGATTGAACTTTATCCTAAGCCCTATAACATTCATTTCCAGTTGGGTCATTCCAACACAATGGCGAAGCTGCATTCCGATGTCTCTAAATAATATTAAATCATCTTTTCCTTTTCTTAATAATATTAATTACACAGCTCTCCGCATGCTAACGTGCGGAAAAAATGCTTTGCTAATGTGGGAAGATGTGGGATACACGGCAAGAAAAGATAACACTAAATGCTTCTAGAAGACCGCTAATTTTGCCCCATATTTCATCAGAATGAGTTAAGCAAAGTAAATATTAGTCAGCCTGACAGCTAATTGATTCGGTTTGCATTAAAACGAGACTGATTTAAACGAAGGTATTTCAGTTGCGATTCTGAATTCATAATTGGTTCAGATGTCTACATGCTTTCCCTGGGGCTAAAAATTTAATTAGAACTGTGAGAAACAATCAGCCAATCGTGTGGAAGTCACAGGAGGGGCTGGAATGTGCAGGTTGTTTACCTTTTCTCTCTTTCGTCTTTATTGGCAGGATGCTTTGATAGCGGCCCTGCCAGGAGCTTATTAAGAAGCTCCGTATAAAAGGGGTTTTATTTGAAAAAATAAAAAAACTTAGCTGCCACAGCTTTGGCCTAGAAGCTCTATCCTTCCATCTCCTTCAAGAACACAACTGGTTACTGGGAATATTTTGGCCTCAGACCCAAACTGAATGTCGTACTTTGCAGACAGCTAAGATGAACGCACTCCTGTAGTGTAAGTGGCACTTTTGGGTACTCCCACCCTGCCACACTCTAGCCCACCCAGGGTCTTCACTGTTGCTGCACAATCTCACACCCTGACCCACAATCTCACCTGGCACAGACATAGGTTGGGGGGCATCTTTGTATCTCCTGGGGTACCCAGCAGGTGCACAGTTAATAATTGGGATAAGAAAGGGAAAAGCACTCAAATTGGGTTATCTTTGCAAGTTTTAAAACTCAGTCACTAAAAATAAGAATGTCGACTAATATAGGTTAAGTCTCCTATTTCGGCTCTGCCTTTCTCCTATTTCGGCTCTGCCTTAGTTCTAACTACTGAGAAATGGCTTAATTCTCAGAAGCCCCATGGGAAGGGGACCAGACAATCTGCTGCCCCGCTCCTTCCCACTGCATGCCTGTGGTGGGGACGTGCAAACAGCCACCCCTGGCGGTAACATGTGTGGTCATAAGTTAATAACTTCAAGGACCTCAAAGAACAAGCATGTTGGCAACAGAAGACCCATCACCACTCACTTAAAGTTAGATGGTAGAGGGGCGCTATAGCAACCCCCTTCTAGCTTGGAATGTTCTCCACACCTTGATTGATGAGGGGATGCTGGCAGCCTCTGTCTTCCACCTAGTAGCGTGCAGGCCCCTGGGCCCACTGCTTAGAACCTCCTTCCACTCATTCTCCAGGGACCCAGATACTGGTTCTGCTGGTCCCTCTCCAGCACTCCCCTTCTGTGGGAGTCAGAACCTACAAGGTTCAGCAGTCCCTCTAAAAAGCCTGACTTCAAGTTCCACGGTGGGAGCAGGAACAAGCATAATCACAGCCCCATCTGATTCTGTGAAGGCGTATGCTACAGTGCCCAGCATGTCATTATTTCTCACAAACCTTAAATTCCTTTCCTTGCTATGAAGGAAAAATGAGATTTACATAATGTTTTGTATTTAACTCTTTCTATCCATGTGCCTGTTTTCCACCCACCCACCCACCCATCCATCCATTCACCTATAAGATGAGCTCAGAACTATACACAATACACGTCAGCTTTGTCACAACCCACTTCAATGAATAAGTTCTATTGGGGACCGCATCAGAACACCCAGAAAGTGATATTCTAGAGAAGGATGTTTAGGTGCCCAGAGATAATGGTCTCCCACACACTCCCAACCAGGTCAGTCAGTACAGGAGCACTGGGTTGCCAGTGGCTTGGGATGACACACAGAACCCACTTCCCCATGGCACCTTTATGATACATGTTCTCTAAGAGTAGCAAAAGTAGTGTCATGTGCTATCCTGGTGGCACAAGCCAACAATTAGCACATTTAGCTTTAAAGAGAAGGCCATTTCCATGTTCTAAAATGATTTTCCAATGGCCACATTTCTTTGGTAGAGCTACTACTGCTTCTCACATGAACTTCTTCATTTGCCTTGTAGCAATCATCACCCTCATCTATCACATATTTTTCCATTTATAGCTTGATTATCTGTCAGCCTCACTGCCCACTCCAATGGCCTGCGAGGACAGGGCCTGCTGCATTGCAGGTGCTCCAAAGTCACCTGTTGAATGAATAAAGTCATCGAAAGCTCACTTGGCCATCTTCAATTTTTAATCTTACGAAGTATCTGTTGACCGACATTTATGAAATATTAATCTCAAGTCTATGCAGAAAGGAAGTTTAATTAACCACCCCATAAATATAAATTGTATTAAACTTAAAATGTTAGCCTCATCAAATTACATTTGTTTTGATCTCAAAGATCACATGAATTTTTAAGGAAAGAAGAAACTTATATTTATTGGCCAAGCTTTTAAATTCATGGTAACCATTAAGGTATGTCACGACAACCGCAGAAACATGCCTTTGCCCAATCTCTAATTTCATTAATAAAATACTCACTTGAATTGCCTGGTCTTTTTACCTCTAAGATCTATAAACTTATCCCCTGTAATAACTGTGCATTTTGTTGACTTTTAAACACTCAAAATAACAATAGATCTTAATCACTGCTTCAAACTAAAGTCAAGAATTAAAATTCTTAGGTCTAACAAGGGGACCCAAATACCTAGCTATTCAGGTGGTTTTTATGTCTTTACACACTAATCATGTTTTACTCTAAATGGATATGGAAAATGAGTAGAAACACATTATATATCTAGAAACACATTAAAACCCACACTCAGCCATTTTTAGAACCACAGATCCAAACATAAAGCAAACAACCACCAAGGCCTTAGGAAAGTATCAGAGGTCTGTACCTGGGGGTCCATTCTCAGGAAGGTGTGAGGGCCTTTGCTACTCAGAGTCGATCTTTTAAAGGTTTTGCTATGATAAAAATGGTAGTAATCTTCCAGGTTTCCAATCTGCAAAACAAGAAGCCAGATATCCTCAGTTAATACAATCATAGAACAGCTTCAAAAATCCTGCATCCCACAAATATCTTCCCTCATCCTAGAGGGTCAGTCAAACCCCAGAGAAAACACACCCTCCATTACACTTCCGCAGGCATCTCTGGCACCTGTTCAGTGCTTCTGAACATGAAGATGGATTTAAACACTCCTGTTTGGATAAACAAATTAGGTAGTATTTCTGATGAAGCACAAACTCCACCGAATCTTGTGGTGAGTTCATATCATTTAAAGTTTGTACATGTTGGCCAGCTTTTTTAGACACGAATTAATGTTCATTTAGGGTCAAGCATCCCTGAAGTAGCTAAGCTAGTGTCAAGTCAGGGCTACACCCAAATATTCATCCATAAACAAACCCCATCCTTTCTACCCCATGGGTAAACTGAAATATCTAAGAATGAACATTCATTCTCAAGTACAAGGAAGCCAAAGAAAACACACAGATCCATCTGCTCAGGGATTGTGAAAGGTCAGATGAGAACAGCCAAACCCCTCGGGTGTCCCAATTTTCTGCCAGGGGCAGTTTGTCAGGACAGATTTCAGCTTTAGTGCTGGATCGAAGGAATCTAAAGAAGTGATGGATGTGGCTTTTGGGACTCGCCCTCCTGTCTGATGACCCTTGAGCATCGGGACATTGTTCTCAGAAGACCTGCTTCTTGTTCTAACTTCCACTGCTTGTTGAAAATAGCTCTTCGGTCACCATCCTTGAAAGCAGAACATTTTATTTTTTTTAATATTTTATTTTATATAATTCTTACATCATTTTTCATTTTTGCACAATGTATGCATTTTCATTTTGGTTATATTCCCCATACAATTGCATCCCCCCTTATTTTTACCCTAATCCTTCCTCTCCCTGCCACCCCCCCGCCCCCGTAGTATGTCTCTGGTTTATAGTTGCTTATTGATTTTGATTTTTACTTTGTATTAATTAGTCTTTTTCCTGGTCCCTTATTTAAGTTTTCTAGATTCCTGCTATGAGTGAGACCATCCGGTATTTTTCTTTTTCTTCCTGACTTATTTCACTGAGCATGATCCCTTCCAGCTCCATCCATGTTGCTGCAAATTGCATGTGTTTATCTTTTTTGAATGCTGAGTAATATTCCATGGTGTATATGCACCACATCTTCTTGATCCAGTCATCTATTTTGGGGGCATTTGGGTTGTTTCCATAGCTTAGCTATTGTAAATAGTGCTGCTATAAACATAGGGGTGCAGGTGCCCTTTGGAATTAATGTTTCTGTGTCCTTTGGGTAAATACCTAGGAGGGGAATTGCTGGATCATATGGAAGCTCCATCTTTAGTAGGTTGAGGAATCTCCACACAGCTTTCCATAGTGGTTGGACCAGTTTGAAAGCAGAACATTTTAAATGAAGATGGACCAAGTTCCCTTCCAGGCTAGACCATCGGAGTTTTGTTTTTTTTTTTCCTCCCAGCTTCTGATTAAAGGGTGAACTTAAGACTAACTATCCTCTAGGGCAGTTAAGTGAGATGACTCCAAGCACAAGTTTTCCATCAGATAAACCTGGTTCCAATTTTACCCACTCCTTTCACCACCATTGCTCATGTGGCCTTGGGCAACAATATTCAAATCTTGCAAATCTCCATTCCTTATGAATAGAACAGGGATAAAACTACAAGGCCCTTGGAGTTGATTAAATAGGACTAATGTCAACCCAATGCACAGCCATTTTTTGGCTGCCCCTACCTCATTTACAGCCATTGCGTCTGCTCCAGCTGACCCCAATAGAGCTGATGGACCCAGGCAGAGATGGTGGGGTTGAGAGATGCTATGAGTGGCCATTTCCATGTCTTTCCACAAGAAGGTAAAGCAGGCATGTACAGAGAGCAACTTCCACCCTCCTCACTACCCTTCAGCCCTCATTTTCAGCCACCCTGGTAGTCCTCCTGCCTCTTGTTCTTAGATTTCATGAGACACCCCTTTGTCCTTGAACAAAGAACTGCCATCATCAGTTAAGCTTGCTCAGCGGGTTTCTGTTACTTACAACCACAGAACATCAGATGCTGAGCAAGTCATAAGGATTAAATAGGTATCATCTGTATAAGACCTGGTTTAGTTCCTAGAACCTACAATAGTATGTGGCCAACAAATGCAGCTGGTACTGGGAGCTGTGATTCTTTCCATGGCTCCTCCATTCCCCATGCCATGCCTGGAGTATTCTCAGTTTTGAACAAATCAGATTCTGTGTCCCAGCTGGTTTCCTTCCTGTGGGGTGTTCTGGGCTTAAGAGCCTCTCTGAGTCTTAGTTTCCTTGTGAGAATAATAGCTATTATCTTGAAGAGTTGTTCTAAGACTTAAATTATATATTATATATAATTATAGATATTCTCCCTATAGATAAGTAGATAGATGGATGGATGGATAGAGAGAGAGAGGGAGAGAGAGAGAGAGAGAGAGATAGAATAAAGTGGGTGGTGGGTGAATGGATGGATAGATACATACATAGATACACAGACCAATGCCATAGATATGGAGCTAGCAGAGCACCTGAGGGGGTAGTAAATGCTTGATAAATGGTTTTCTGCAATTATCATTCTCAGTTCATTTTCTACCTATTTCCGCCATCACAAATCTCATTTTTCTGCCCTATTTTGCACAAAACCACTTTTATTTCACCACCTACAGATAAGTCACCTTGCTCACTTCTTCAACAAAGTTAATTGCTATATATGTCGAAAGACTCCTCCTAAAGCATGCCAGAGCTGTTATTTAGCAACAGACACAGTAATGGAGTCTTAACTTAGAGCAGTATTTAATCAGCATGTTTGCTTGCGAGCTGCCACCATCCCTGGGAGATGTTTCGCAACTTTGGTCTTTTAACTCTGGGCATTCAAGTCAATTCCCATTCAGGAACATGGAGAAACTCAGAATTGAACCAAATTTGCTAGCGAGGGGATGGATTAGTTGCACATGCCAGGGCGGTCTGGAAGCCATTCAGGGCAGCACCTGGCCTTAGGGCAGCCAAGCTGCTCTTAAAAGGCCAGTCCCAAGACCATTTATCCTCCTGTCTCTGGGCCACCACGTCCATCCTTAGCAAGGGCTCAATGAATCCCAACCGATGGGAGCTGTTCCCTTTGAGCAATCCAGGGAAGGAACAGATGGTGCCCACAGTGCCAAGCAGCAAACTGCCCCCAGGGCATTGCCATGTTTGTTTGGAAACTTATGTCCAGCCCAGCATGGGGACTGAAGATGTGGGGAGGTCCTTTCTCAATGCAGGGGATCAGGGACACCAGCCAAGGCCACCTACTGGCCCTTTCAAAGCCAGAAGAAACTGGAATCAGAAAACACTTCAGAAAATAAGGGGCAAGGGTGAGGTCACAAATCTGAAAGTGGCCCCAAGGTCCCCTGTGAGTTCTATGAACCTCCATCCAGCTTCTGGGTTTTTTTTGGAAGGAAGCTGAGTAGGGGATGGGATAGCCACATTCCTTCCTCAGGATCAAAGACTGGAGTCAGACAAGCCATAAGCCAGGAAGTGGGATTCAGCACACAGGACCGAAAGGGTTGCCTGATACTGGAATTACCAATGGGATAGGAGGGGAGGTGGGTGTGAGGGGACTGGGTCTTTAAGAGGGAATCTAGCCATGCCTTCCAAGGGCTTGGCCTGTACTCAGACTGGGTTACCCACACAGTGCTGCCAACCAGGGCTACGCCTGTCCCCGCAAGCCTGCCGATGGCTGTGGTTAATAAAGCCCTTCACTCAGAGCGGGGGCTAGCGAACCTGGGTCCACAGGCCAAACCCTGATCACCACGTGTTTGGTTTTTTATTTTCATTTTCTAACACTGTGGGAAAATATAACAACATTTACCAATGAAACCATTTTTAAGGTGGGGTTCAGTGGCATGGGGTAGATTCACAATGCCATGTGGCCACCGTCTCCAGAACTTTCTTTGTCTTCCCAAAATGAAACCCTTTTCTCATAAACACTAATTGCCCACCCTTTTCCCCTCCCCCAGTCCTTGGTGACCCCCTCTTCTGCTTTCTGTGTCCATGACTCTGACGAGTCTCGGGACCTCCTCTAAGTGCAACCATGTGACATTTGTCCTGTTGGGACTGGTTTATTATATGTGCAAGATGTCCTCCAGGCTCATCCTGTGTTACCAGGGATCAGACTTCCTTCCATTTGGGGCTGAAAAATAGTTCCTTGCTTGCACAGACCACATTTTATTTATGCATTCATCTGCTGACTGACTGGGGTGGCTTCCACCTTCGGCTACGTGAGTAATGCTGCTGTTGAGTACAGGTGTGCAAATCAATGTTCCCGTGCCTGCTTTCAATTCTTTGGGGCACAGATCCACTTCCTGTCTGTACAAATAAAGCTTTATTGGAACACAGCCACACCCACTCGTTTCCCCACCAGCCACAACGGCTTTGGTCCATGCCCGCAGAGCTGAGGCTGCTACAGGGACGCACTGAGCTGCAAGCTTAAGCGATTCCGCGTGTGGACTTTTTCAAACAGGAAAGGTTTGCCGCTCTGTGACATACAACCTTTGCTGCCAAGCCTGTTTTGGCAGTCTCTGCTCTCTGATGTCGAACATGGCTCGTCCAAAGGCTGGAATGCCCTGTCCATACCCCGAGGGCTTCTGTTTAGAAACAGAGACCAGCTGCGATCCCAGCACCTTCAGCATCTCATCCGGTCCCGGATCCGTTCTTTCTGCAGGAGCCCTCCACGTCAGATGCCCCAGGAGGCACCCTGTCTCCCTGTCTATCTCACACTGGGCTGCCCTCTGCAACAGGCACGGAGTCAGGACTGTCAGGGGGTCATGAGGGGCAAAAGGTGAGAAGGGGTCAAAGGGGCAGGGCAGGAGGTGGGGGCACTGACCGTTGGTAGGACTCAGCCGGGTGACATCTGGGACCTGGCTGTTCCTTCTCCTCCCCTCCCCTTTGAAGCCTGCTCTGCCTCGCACCTGACCTCCACAGCAGAGCCAACCACCA